TTTATAAATAAATATATATATATATATATATATATATATATATTCACCTTGTATGTCAAAATATATGCATAAAAAAATCATGTATATCAAAATATTAATTAGTGTGATTTTCTTATTACAATAACTAAATTGAAAACAAGATGTCTATAATTTCTCTATTGCGAGTAAAACTTAACTAGTTACATTGGCCACGTGTGAGAAATTAGGCATCTTAATTTTTATTTTCGATATTGATCCACTATTTGTATGGAAGCTTTTCTTCCCTTTTTGTTTCACATTTATGTTATTATAAGTCTCCAGTCGTTATATTCATTTATGTTTGATAAATTACCTCTACCACTTTTAAACACTCATTTTCTAGTTGTAGGTTTAGCTAGATTTGGTAGAAATGGGTCTTGGAGTGCATGAAGAATTGCTGGTAGCTTCATTGAGGATGAATGAATAAAACAACGAGGAACAAAAAAACAATAAGAATCTTGCATGTCTCTTAAAAGTTTCTCTTTCCGTTCTTCATAATTTTAACATTGGAACATTAAATACTTCATTTAATGCTTTCACTAGTAGTCAAGTATAACTTGATAAACATGATGCTAATCTTCCTATGTATTTGTAAGAACAACCTATTGCGGGTGAACAAAATTGTTGTTCAAAATTCAAAAATATAGTATATTGTCACCTATTCATCAATTTATCTTGTGAGTTGCTCTTATCTTTTTGCATGCCTTTTAAGAAGTACACTTTAAGTCTGAAACCCTTTTAAAATAGTACTTTGTATCTAGAAAAGTATTTTTCTAAATGGTTCTATAACAACCTATATATGTAAAATGTCCATCCTAATATTGTAATAATGAATGTCATCCCTCATTCTATATCAGATTTCTAGAAACCAATGTAAATTTATGATGTAAAGAATATTTTTCATATTAGTGATTCCTACTTGAATCGGTTTTACCAACCGATTAGGGAAAATTTTTTATAACGTTCTTAACTATAAAATTTAGTTGTATATCATAAATATTTTTAGTGTTTTAAACAAAACTTAAAGTTTTACCTTAATAATTTACGAAAAAAAGTTAATATTAAAAGCTTGTATAAATTATTGGGATAAAAAAATAATAATCATTACTAATACGACTAAGCTTTATTATCCAAATAAAGTTTTAGCACGGGTTGACTCGGTAAGTGTACTCACTGGGTCATAACAAAGAAGGATTGTGTTAGATGATTGTAAACGAAGCAAGTGAATTATCACCGTGTGGTCCACGTCCCACTACTACGGTGAAAATTCGTGTGAAATGTCGCGTTTGATGAACTAGGCCCATTACGAGCCCAAGTGGTTGACTGGGTTGTGGGTTGACCAAATTCAGTGCCACATTGACAATAACGATAACCCTCTCTTTTCCTATGATGTTTGTAAAATATATTAGTATTATGTTTATTGACTCATCAAAAGAAAACAAAAAATATGTATTATGTTGAATTAAGGTCGGCCACTATTGAAAGCATGTTACAACTTGTCTTCCTCCTCCTACTTGCTTTTGCACCAATGAATCATTTGTAAATTATAAGCATGCATACCCATAGTTTGCTAAAGAGAAAGTACAGAGACAAAAGGGAGAAAAAAAATGGGCAACGTGTTTGAATGTCACACAACTTTATCTTAAATGAAATTTCATGCGTGAGAAATAGCTCCTTTAAAAAAAATCATCACATGTACAGAACGTGATTATATTATTATTAGAGTATCTCCAATGTTAGATTCTTATCTGGTTCTTAAGTTTAAACTCTCATTACTTATAAAAAACTTTCATTGGAACATGCTGACATAGTAAGTCAAATTGCTAAAATTTAAACAACGTTACTTATATAAAATACTGTTGCTTAAGAATAAAAAAATAATTTAATATTTCCTTTCTTCATTGATGTCAACAACTATAATAGTTAAATTTTTTAAAATTTATTAAAAATAAAGTATGAGTGGTTAAAAAGTGAAGGTGCTTATAAGCAACTTTCATTGGAGTAAAAATTATAAAAATGTAATATAAGTTACTTATGAGCAGTGACATAACAGTATGGAATCTATTTAAAGTAGATGAGAGTTGCTTATAAACTCTCATTATAAATGCTCTTAAGCTATACATAATTCGAAAGAACGTGGTTATTATGATGTTAATTAGATAGTAATATTAACATTTTTTCTGTATTGATGTTAATATTTTATCCTTGTATGGTTTAGAAAATGAAGGGAGAAGAAATTTTTTGAAATTTAAATTGAAGAGAAAAAAAAAGAATATTTTAAATTTTATTTCTAAATAATCATTTTTTTTCCTTTTTTTTTTCTTATTTTCTCTTTAATTAAAAACATATATTATGTGTCTTTAATTTTTGTCCTTTTTATTTTCTTTCCCCCGATCCAAACACAGTATCAACTATAAAGTAAGTCAAGTCCTTGTTTTAGACCTAAAAAATTATTCAGTATCTGTGTTTATACAGTTTTTATTATCCATTGATTTAATATAGTGATAATTAATTTTTCTTGATAAATAAAGGTTGAACATTGTTGAAGAAAAACTATTATATTTTTTTATAAAACATCCATTTTTTCTATTAATTTTATATTAAAAAATGACATTAGGGTTTACTGTACGTTGGGTTGACCCTCTCCAAGTTAATACCATTGCATCACAAGGATAACAAAATTCATAGATAGCTTCAAGTGTTTGAATAATGTGGCGGCTAGATACAGATTCTTACAGTGAATATATATATATATATATATAACTCTTTGTTAATAGTAAACAAATAATAATAATAATAATAATAAGAGTTGAAAATTACTTGGGTTTAATGCAATAGCGTCCTTGTCATCCTTGGTCAAGATCATCATGAGCCACTACTCTTCACTGTGGTCCAGGTGAGAAATTTTGTACAGAATTAATGGTAGAGGCACTCAATTCCAAGAAGTTGAAACTAAAGTTTGATGGTATCAATGCAATATTGGAGCAGACATGGTAAGTTAAGTTCGAAGAACCTGAATTGAATAATTGGATGTTGGAAGAACTCGATATTCAAATTTCTTAAAGAGGCACTTAGAGCATTGCAATGGGGGTTGCTTATAAGCAACTTCCTGTGTCACATCACTGCCACATCAACTCTAACCCACTTTATGGATTACTTAAATTTTAGCAGAATTGTTTCTATAAATAATTTTGCTAAAATTTAAACAATTCATAAAATAAACCAGAGCTGATTTAACAGTGATGTGGTACAGGAAGTTGCTTATAAGCAACTCTCATTGGAGATGCTCTTAAAGCGAGATCATAATAATAAGATAATTTCATGGGAAAATGGCTTAGTGCTGTGTGATGCTGCCAACGCACAAGCACACAGGTGAGAGCTGAGCATTAAAAAAATATATATATTTACGAGTAAATCGCATAAATAAATTTGATATTATAATATAAATCAAAATTTTAAGTATCATATTCATGAAATTTTTATTCATATATTATTTAATATGTTCATTTTTATGTAATATGAAACTCTTCTTCACACTTAAATTTCCATATAATTTAAATAATGAAACTTCTACGAGGTTATTGATTACTAGTGGAAGGATGAGATTTGTTGGGTATCTTTGAAAATTTGGATTCCGTGGAGCTAAAACATTATTGTGAAAAGAAAAAAGAAAGGATTTTTTCTACTGTAATCATTTTAATTACAAATTTGAATGTACGTGCTTTTTTATTGAATATTTTATTTTAAATATTTACAGGAGCGTGTAAGAAAGCTATATTATAGAGCATTTTAACATCCATTTAGATTTAGTTTACAAGCAAAGGTTTAAAAAATACGACCCTAATAATTTCATGTATCAAATATTACTATTTTAGGGATTGTAATTATGTAAAAAATAAAAAATAAAATAAAAAAAAGATGGGGATGGTTATGGGAAGAGTGGGTATAGAAACACCCATCATCCACTTTATTCAGTGATGTATCCATGAATTTTATATATATATATATATATATATATATATATATATATATTTATATATATATATATATTAAGTTAAATTATACTTTTGTTCTTTTAGCTATTTTTAAGATTCAAATTTGATTTCATTTTTTTAAATGGTTTAACTTCATCTTTTAATTTTTTTTTTAAAAATATTCAATATTATTCTTCCGTCCAAATTAACACTAAATGAAATA